GGTTTTGTTATACAAAAACTTAAAATTAAAATGCCTTAGTCACCCTTTCCTAATAGACATAATTTTGACAATTATCTTTAACCAAAAATATATTACATTCTCTTTACTTAATGTGAGTTCTAATGTTAGTTTCAACCTCTGACCTTTGTTTTCTCTTTTGAAACAGGATAAAAATATCACCAAGCAAACATCTCATAAGTGACATTGGTAAATTAGTGGAAATGGTGCTACAAATGCAGATGAAAGATCAAAGATTCATTTTCAAAGCTTCAAAAATTCAATGGGAAAAATAATACAATGGGAATAGGAACATTTGGGAGAAATAGATTTGGATTGAGAGTTGTTATGGCTGCTCACAAGTTAGTAATATAGTGCTGTCATGTGTAAAGAATACCATCCGGCAGGAATTACTGTTGATTAGTCGTCGTCTTCTTTTTAAAAATATACTTCTTTATTGATTTCAAAGAGGGTGGAATTTCAGACAGGAAAGGAGAGGGAAAGGGAGAGGGAGAGGGAGAGGGAGAGGGAGTGGGAGGGGGAGAGAGAGAGAGGGAGAAAGGGGGAGAGAGAGAAACACCCGTGACCTGGCGCGCACACACAGAGATCTTAGTATGTTGTTTAGTATCTCTCAGGTTCTGTCCAAAATGTTTTACATGTATTCTTACTCTTCAAGAAGACCTGTCAAGTAAATACTATTACCTCATCTCCTATGATGACACAGATTTACTACTAAAGGTGAACTAATTTGTCAAGGTTCATATAGCTGGCTCAAGCTCTTCACCATTAGCTTTCCAGATATATATTTTCATCCATGACTATCACTGCAAAAAACTGTTCTAAGACTATCAGTAATATTTTAAATTTTCTGCCTTTTCTGGCCTTGTCTCCATGACCTCTTCTCTGCCTTCTACATGCTTTAGCCACACTTTTAATTTTATGAAAGCACTATGCCCTATGTACACATGCCATACATTCCCTCTAATTGGAATGCTCACCCCACCAGCCTCACCCAGGTCATTTGCACTTACCTTTCGAGTCTTCATTTAAATGTCACTTTCTTCAGGTTACCTCCCAGACCTTTCTCACTTCCAAGACTGGATTGGTCTCTTCCAATATTTGCTCCCATAGTATTGTACTTTAGTTTTCTATTTTGCAGAACTTTTCACACTTGGAATTATTTGTCCATTAGAATTTGGCCTGTCATTTGTACTATATACTTTTGTTTCCTCCATATTTTCTGGCATTTGTTGTAGTTGAAGTGCATGGTAGGTGTCCAATTACTATTTGTTACCTATCTTTTTTTCTGAACATTCTTTCTTAACTCCATGCTTATAAATCACAAATGTGTATTCTCTGTTCAAAATATGAACAACTGTGTTAATTGCTTAGTGCACTCCAAGGCTCTTAATCTAGTCAAGAGAGTTTGGCACCATTTTGACTTCTTGCTATCTTTTCTGTTTGAGCCAGTTCCTTGGAAGTTGAAACTGTTTTATTGAGCCAGAAAGATGGCCACACTATTTTAATTGAAAAAAAAGTTATGAAACGTGTAACTTGTGAGATTTTATCTAAATATAAATTCATGTATTTTAAATCTCTCTGAAATATTTGAGAGGATACATACTATGGATGGGAGGAGCTAACCAGTGGACTTTAGTTTTCTCTTTTGTATGAATTTTTCAGTGACTAAATAAAAACAGCTATTTTGAAAAAAGAAAACAAAAAGAAAGCTAAAATTGCTTGAGATAACCTTTCTATTTCCCCCAGTCCATTTGTGCAATACATTTCTCTTTTTCTGTCTCTCTTTTTCCCTTTCAGATATCTCTTTCTTTCTCCTCCTATTGCATTCTTTAATTCTCACTTTTGCTGTGAGAATCTGTTTCTATTCCAAACTTAAGTATATGTTAAATTATTCATTGATCAGGGTTCTTATTTTCTGTCATAATCAAATGAAAAATTTAATGGCTCATCGTAGCTTATGTTATAGGATTAAAAAGATTGAATATTGCATTTTAAATTTTATTAAGAAAAGTGAGCCCTAGATTTTTTTTTTTTTTTTTTGCTTAATGGATAGAGCGTCAGCCTGTGGAATAAAAGGTCCGGGTTTGATTCCGGCCAAGGGCACATGCCCAGGTTGTGGGCTTGATCCCCAATATAGGGTGTGCGGGAGGAAGCTAGTCAACGGTTTCCTCTCATCATTGATGTTTCTATCTCTCTCTCCCTTCTTCTCTGAAATAAATAAAAATATATTAAAAAGAAAAATGATGTGTATCTCTTATCTCACTTGGGTTTTTTTTCTTGAGGGACATGGTTTGCAAAGGCAAAAGAGAATATTTAAGTACATTTGGACAATAATAAGCAGAGCAGTCATACTAAGGCATACCATATAATAATTTAAAAGAATGAGTATGCTGTAAAACGTTTATCGTGAGAGGCTGTACAGGGTGTATAGCTGAGTGAAGAAGCAGGTTGTACAGCAGGAAGTATAAAATGAACTCATTTTTGTTTAAGCAACCCTCCAAGAACACACAAAAAACTTCTTTAAAGATATAAATACTTAGTTTATGATATAATACTTAGTTATCTTAATAGATAACAAATAAATTTTGTAACAAGTAATTAAACTTAATTGTTTTTTATAGCAAAGGAAACTTATTGTTTACTTACTATATTTATAGATGATTTCCATTGAGGAAATGGATTTTCAGTCTTTATATATTTCTCAATTTGAATATTAAGTAATACATAGCATGTGATTCTTTTTTTAAAATCCTTATTGGATATTTTTTTCTATTGATTTTTAGAGAGAATGGAAGACAGTTAGGAGGGGGAGAGTGAAAGAGAGACACATTGATTGGTTTCCTCCCTCACACCCCCCTCTCCAACTGGATCTAGGGATTGAACTCTTTTTTTAAAAAAATATATATATTTTATTGATATTTTACAGAGGAAGAGAGAGGGATAGAGAGTTAGAAACATCGATGAGAGAGAATCATCGATCAGCTGCCTCTTGCACACCCCCTACTGGGGATGTGCCCGCAACCAAGCTACATGCCCTTGACCGAAATCGAACCCGGGACCTTTCAGCCCGCAGACCGACGCTCTATCCACTGAGCCAAACTGGTTTCGGCAGGATTGAACTCTTGATCCTTCGGTCTGTGGGCCTAAGCTTTAACCCAGGGGTAGGGAACCTTTTTTCTGCCAAGGTCATTTGGATATTTATGACATCATTCGAGGGCCATGCAAAATTATCAACTTAAAAATTAGCCTGCTATATTTGGTCATTTAATAAGCTCACCCCTAATGCCTTGGCAGGGCCAGGCCAGATAATTTCGTGGGCCTTATGAGGCATGCGGGCCGCACGTCCTTCACTCCCTGCTCAAACCACTAAGCACCGGCCAGAGCAGCATGCGATTCTTTTTAATTAAAAAAATTATGAAAGTATTGATTTTTAAAAATATGGTGTGATATCAAGTTATATAGTTTATTCTTATAAAATATCATTTCTGTAACAAAAGAACATCTTTAAAGAAAGAAAATGAAAGTACCAGGCATTCAAAGGTACTTTGAATGGTACTTTGTAATTCTGAAAATGTCAAATATCACATTTTATAATAGTACATGTTAATTATTTCATAATAGAGAGCCAGAGAGGCATTAGCCAGTAAATTGGATACAGTGGCAGCTCCTACCCAGCACAGGAGCTGATGAACTCTCTGCAAGTGTGGCCTTTGTTTTCCTCGGGTTGCTTGGTCCGCAGTTTGCATTCATTGATCAGTGAGTTGGTTCAGACTCAAACCCACCGACAGCAATGAATGTTGAGTGCAGCCATCAGTGTTTCCTTTGGTGGAGTTGCCTTGGCTCTCCCCGACTCCTGGCTCTTCTTTCCCACACTGGTTCTTTGAGTTCTGTGTCTGGCCTCTCTCAGTGACTAACCAGTGAGGAACCACATAATTATTGATAACATTGACAGTAGAGCTGGGAGGTTCTGAAAAATGGGGAAACTATGGTTCAGAGAAGAGAAGGGCTCCTGGAGAAGCTAGCAAGTTGCCCTGTGATCACACAGCTGTACTTGTATACTGGGAGATGTAAATAAGAGTCGAGGATCCTAGTTCTTCCTCTCTCTTTAGAACCGAGAATATGAGTGCTTTTCAAGTTAAATTAGCACAGATTATATTTTGGATTAAATAATAATAATAATAGCTTTCATATATAGAGCATTTCACATATAGATCTGTGTTCTAGGAATGGTACAAAGCACCTATGTATTATCTCATTGAATCTCAAAACTCCATGAGGATAGGTATTCTTATTATCCCCCATTTTATATATGAAAGCACCGAGATTCAGACATTCGTCTAGAGCACATGTGTCAAACACAAGGCCCGTGGGCCAAATCCATCCCGCCAGGCCTTGTAATGTGGCCCGCACCGCGCTGTCATCACTGCACTCCGCTGCGTTTCCATCACAATGACAGTTTAGGACTGTTCAGTAAACCATTCGGCCCGCGATTTAGGCTGGATTTTAGATTTTGGCCCCTTCTCTGATTGAGTTCGACACCCCTAGTCTAGAGTCACACAGCTAGTTAGGGAGTTGAATCGAGATGCATTCCAGGTCTGTCTGACTCCAGACCAGATTTTACTTGAATTTAACAAACATTTAAATAAGCATATGTGTGGATGGAAATAGTGAGGCAATAGGTGCTTTCAAATAGCTCAAATTCTAATGGGGCTGTCAAAACTTACCCACATTAGCTATAATTGCAGGCAGAATGTGATAGGAACTGTGCAGACATTGGAAAGTTTTGTGCTATTTTTGTTTATTAAATCCTCCCCTTGCCTCTAATGAAAAGTTTTGAGGGTATGTAGGAGAAATGGGTATAAAATATTTGGATTTTGCTCCAAAATGAAATACATGTTTTTTAATAAACGTTTTCTTGCTATGTTCTATTTCCTACCAGCATGGCACATTAAGAATTATCATGGAGTTCTTCTCTTGTTGAAACAAAACACTTATTTGTCAAAAACACAACAAAAAACGAAGAATACTGGGCAATAGAAATAGAGGAGAGCTTTTTAAAAATTCACTTTTGGGAAATAGGCATTGGAACTATTTCTGATGACCTAATTTGGCATGTGAAGGTGCAACCTGCTGTTTTGCTTCAAAGATATAGTGTTGTCTGTAAGGAGCCCAAGGTACAGTCAACGGTCGGTGGTTTTTTTCAAATCCCAAACTCACCGACAGCGTTGAATGTTCCTCGGAGTCCTCTGAAGGCGGAATCCTGGCCCTGGCAGCCCTTCAGCCTGTACCCACATTTCAGGAGCAGTGATACCACTGCTGATGTAGGCTCTCACATTCTTTTCTGGTTTTAAGTGGAGACTACTGCATTGATTTGTATACACCAGAGAGTTAATGAACTTCAGGATTGTGAGACTGTAGTATTTATACAAGCACACTCAGATGGATGTTTGAGGAAATGGCTTTGAATGATACTTTGTAATTCTGAAAATGTCAAATATCCCATTTTATAGTAGTATATGTTACTTATTAAAGGGTGAGGGTAAGAAAGACCATAATATAATTCAGTACCCTACTATGTGTTGAGATTTGTTTATTTTTATCTCGTTAAATTCTCAACAACTCACTTTTATCTCATGAGAAAACTGTCTTAGAGAAATGAAGTAGGTTGTCCAAAGTTACACAGCCAAAAGCCAAGGTTACAAGCTAGAGCTTAAATACTGGACTTTATGATTGCAAAGCTCACTGATCATACTGCCCCCTCTCTTTTTCACCACAAACTTGCTGTTGAATTTCTGGGGATAGAACCTTCTGTGAGAGTAAACATCATCATCTTGTTTGCCTGTAATAATAGTTGGTAAATCTGTAGATGAAATGTTTCATAAAGGAAGATGAAAAAAATTAATCTTTATACTTTATAATCTCCCTAGCTGGGATTACTAAATTATCGAAGAGGTTTATAGTAGTCTGCAGGCTATTTTCCATATTGAAAAAACAAAAAATGAACCAAAACCCCCACTACCTAATATGATAGAAAGCCTGCATTTCTCAGTGAGTTCACAATAGACTAAAATGTCAGGTGTCTTTGGTTTTGGAGAAAGGGTATCAGTGTATTGTAGACATACTGATTATTTTTATTGGCTATTGGCTGGGTCCTTGATGAAATATTTGGAAAATGATTGAATTATATGGAACTCTTCAGAATGTGTAGGTTTTACCACTATAATAGGGGGGATCCAGGAGTACTCAGTAGCAGAAGGGCTTACAGAACCACTGGCTGAATTGAGGTTAATCTTTAATCAGAGATAGTTATTATATTTGCTTTAGGTTTACATATTAACTGTTGAGTGTTCTCAAATTTATTTTTAAAGCAGCCAAATGGTACATATTTAAAAAAAAATCAACCTCTGAGAATTTTGTTTGAATGTAAACTGTTTACATTCTGCATCCGTTTAATTGTTCTACTCTCTATGTCAAAACACTTCAGTTAGCCAGCTTTGTTGAGTTCTCAGTGATAGGGCAATAAATGGTTTACAAATGACAACAAAAAGCCAAACAACTGTTACTATGTAGTATTTAAAAACTCTTTCCTGGGTTTATTTTAAATGGTCTTCTCCTTGGCCTGAAGAGATGCTAATGCTTTATACCATTTGAATAAATATTCAGACTTAAAAAAATACTAAATTCTGCTACCCTGAATCATTAGATATTTGCAAAATACCATTGCTTAAATTTATGGCATTCTAAGAATATTTTTGATAGACTTGAAAAACTAGAGAAGAGTGAAAGGGTGCTTCCTATAATTAATTTTCATGGCAATAAAGCTTTTAGCATCTTCATTCCTTTAATTTGCTTTAAGTCCTTAATTTTATTCTTTATAAAAAAATTATTCTTTATCATAAAGTGAGTTTAAGGTACATATTGCATCTTTTAAGTGAGTTTGGCTATAGGGTTTATGTACTCAAAGGTAAAGTCTAAGGGTTAAAAAGTTCAGGGTTAAATTACCCTTATAGAAGCTACAGATTTAATAAACATTTAATAAATGTTTAGTGATTTAGATGGGTTTTGAGTTTGCCAGAACTCACCAATCTATCCTTTATCGTTTCACTTACCTCCTTTCTTTTCTTTTGCAGATGTGCTACAAAATATTGAAACCCACATTGCTCCAACTTGGAGATGTAGATGTTTTCATACTCCTCTTGAAGCCTCTTGATATACTTGAAACAAACAAACAAAAAACAAGAAGCATAAACACAATTAAATAATATATTTTAGCGGTTAGTAGCATAGGAGTCACTGTCTTAGGTAGGTGACTGCCCAGACACTTCCCAGGCACTTTGCAGGGAGCATCTCTGGAAGTGTTTAGGGAAATGCTGCTAGCCTTGATCACAAAGTTGTAAAGATGACAGCAACATGTCAGGATGAATTCATGTTCCTCTTAGAACACTGATAGTGTTCTTCATTCCTTTACTAATTCAGCAGCAGAATCCTAAGAATTCTTTCTCCTACATACAGCCCTTGCCATCATGGAGCCCAGTGTCTATCCAGGGAACTAAACATAGACCCATCTGATGACAAAGAGGATGTTTGCTATCCTGGCAGAATGATATAATCCATGTTAAAGATAACAGAGAAAATAAGTGTTAATCCTGTTTAGAAGTATGAGGAAAGGTACATCTAAGTGTTCACATTTGATCTGGGCCTTGAAGGTTTAATTGAATTTTCACTAGACACAGAAGGAAAGATATTCCAGTAGAGGGAAAACTCTGCATAAGAAACTAGAGGAAAGAAAGTTAAGGTAGGGAGAGATCAGCCAAAGGACTTTATGCATGCATATAAGCCTAACCAAAGGACACAGAAAACGGGGGTGAGGGCATGAGTGGGGATGATGGAGGAGGGGTAATGGAGGAATAAGGACACATATGTAACACCTTAATAAAGAAATTAGAAAAAGAAAGAAAGAAAGTTCAGATAATGGTGAGTAGTGAGATTAATCTCTCAGAGCTTCAGTAAAGTTGCAGTACAAATAGCACTCATCTTTTTTTGTACACAGTTGTTAAAAGCTATTGAGGTTATATAAGTGAAAGTAGCATGCAAATATAATTGCTGGGTCTCACTTTTCTCATTGCTATTGGTTCATATGTGCTACAGTAGAATAAATAAAGTACCTTATGATAGATTTCTCCAAAGTGGTTTCTTATTTGGCTGTCTATTTTTTTCCTTTAAAGTGACCATAGTTTAAAATGTTCATATATGAAGTGTTTGGAGAAGTACTATTATAGCCTAATAAAGAGCACAGACTTTGAAACTGTAATAGAATCTTGGCTTTGCAACTTACTAGCAATTTGACCGTGGGCAAATTACTTAACCTCCCTATTTTTCTGTTTCCTTATCTATAAAAATGAGATATTATCTACCTCATAGGATTGTGAGGATTAAATGCAGTAAAATATGTCAAGTGTGTTAGAAGCTATATCTATTATGTTATTTCAAAATATTTAAAATCATTGGCAACTATGTTACTAAATAAAATTGCTTGTTTTGCTCAGAATTTGCTTTCTAGTCCATATACATTAGTACCTATATATATATTTAAAAAAATTCTTTTAAAATTAAAACAATCTCTTTCCAGCTAATTATATGTACATTTTTAAATCAATTTTTGAAACTAATGCTCTACCACTTTGTGACCTTAAGTGAAGTTTTTATCTCCCATAAGCTTCAATTTCCTCAATCTGTAAAAATGGGAATCATAGTATCTACCACATATTGATTATGAGGATTGTTAGATAATATAATGAAAAACTCTGGATAGCTGTGGATTCTCTCCCTTAAATACATGCACCTAAACAAAACTTTGAAAGCAGTTTCAGTTATGAATTCCCAAGAAACCATCTATAGCCTCCTTGTGATTCAGGGTTAAGAAATCCTGACTAAAGGTGTAGCCCAGGATTTTGTAATCTAGTCTTATCACGACTGATGGTTGTCATTGAGCATCTAGATCTCCATCTTGATATCCATAACTTTGCTTATGCTAGTAGAATTTGTAAAATAAGTTGCCAGATGATAAGTTACACAAATATTTGAATGGATTTATCTTACTTTGCAACAGCTCTCCTCCCACCTAATCCCTCCCCCACTTTTCCAGCAACCATTTGGTTTGGATCTGATCTGAACGCTATGACTGCTAATTCTGACTTTAAGTCTGGCTGAAAGAATGTGTTATTTCAAGACAATGCTTACCAAGTAGCCTGCTTAGCTCGCAGTGTTTATTTGAATATTAGAAGAGGGGGAAAAGAGTGTGCTACAGATTGTGGTTGTATGTGGAATCATTGGTCGTTCTTATATTTAGCCTGCCTGAGGTTTTACCAGAGTTGAGAGAGAGGAATAGAATTTTAAACTCAATGGCTTGGAATATTTTGCTAGTTGACATGGCAACTTTATAACAAGTTACTTCAGATATTTTATTTAAAAAAAATTTTTTTTCTTAATTTCAGAGAGGAAGGGAGAGGGAGAGAGGTAGAAACATCAATGATGAAGAGAATCATTGGGGGGTCGAGCCTGCAACCTGGGTATGTGCCCTTGACTGGAACTGAGCCTGGCAGACCGACACTATCCATCCAGCCAAACCGGGTAGGATGGGAAAATGCCCTTTAAATGTTTTTTATGGCTAGTTCCAGCTTATAATTGAATCTTTGTGAAATATAATGTAAAAACTTTACCTAGATCTAACTCATACTTTCATAAATGAAATATTAATTAATTAGGTTGGGTAAGCTATTAATACTTGACATACTGTATTGAGACTTATGTCTTCATTGCTAACCTGAAATTGTACAGTTTTGATGTTTGAATGGGAATGCTAATCATGGATAGGGAGGGAAATTCTGGGATGAAAAAATAGGAAATAAGTTCCAGTTTACAGTTTTATAACTTTCAAGTTGTCAGGTGTCTTAGAGATCATTTAGTCTAATGATTTTCAAACTATTGATAGACTGCATCAGGATAAAAAGTGGCGTTAGGAAATGTAGATTGCTAATAATGCATATTCCCGGGCATCATCCTACACTTAGTAAAGCTGATCTTGTAGGAGTGAGTTCTATAGTTTTCAAAAACCCCAGAGGACTCGGATGTAGCCATTGCATGGGACATTTGGGAATCTCTGATTTAGGCCAAGCTCTCTTTCATAGATGAGGAAGCTGATTTAGAAGGGAAATGAAAACCCAAACACACAGTAGGTGAGAATTGAAGTCCTCAACCCTGTGTGTGTGTGTGTGTGTGTGTGTGTGTGTGTGTGCGCGCGCGCGCGCGTGCGCGCGCCCGCGCTCCCGATTCCAATGCTGTGGTGTTTACTTAGACCACATTACCTCTTCTTTATGAAAAAGCATGCTTTTTGCAGAAATTTCCTAATGTCCTGTTGGCCATCTGCAAAGTACATCTGCAAAATCAATCTGCCTGGCAGGTCAAACAACTTAGCCTTAGGGATGTACCCAGAACTAGTGCAACTGGACCATTGACTTGAATTTGGTATGCTGACCTGAAGCATAAGCAGTGCTGAGTAGTTGCTTAAAAACTGTCCATAGCATGAAATGAGAAATAGCTGTAAGTGATCAAAACTCTGAGAAGGCCCTCCAGGCTCTGACATTCACCAGCAGCTGCTACACTTTAACACTTTTCTCTAATCGAAGTTGACTATCACTAGATGGAAGAGGCTTGCAGAACCTCTGGCAGCTCTCTGGGGAAGAATTTATTTTAATTGTGCCAGCGAGGAGGTAGGCATTATTTCAATAAAGATCAAGAACCTCCAAATCCACTTAAGCTTGGGCTCCTGGCCAAGTGTCCATTCTCAGGAGGGAGTTGGTGTCAGCTGCTGCCTTGTGACTTGAGGTATTTAAAAAAAAAAACACAAAGGCATTATGGAATCCTTTCCTGAGTTGGCAGGCAGGAGTGGCACCAGGAATCAAGACCTGACACATGTCATCAGCCTGGAAAATGTGGAGTTTGGACACTAATGATGGCTCTTGTCAAAGCTCAGTATGATAAAGTCAGGAGGACTCATCGTGGGGGTTGGTTTGCATAGGAGAGGAGTCACAGCATTCTCTAAGAACACCTGCCAAGTTTTTTCACTGCCCCAGCTGTGTGTCAGGGATGAATCCTTCACTCTTGCTTCCTGTCACTTCTTTGTAATGGGAGATGGTAGAGATGCTGGATGGGTACAGAAGAGAGGCAGCTTGGTTATGTTTGGCACATCTCCTTAGTTGCTTGTTTTCTTGCCATTTTCTGTATAGAATTAAATTTATGTGGCCATACTCCAGGCTACTCCTTTGTTCTGTCTTATATCTGAAGGTGTGTTGGGCCATACATAGTCACAGGTCTTTTATTTCCATAAATGCCACTGCTGGTGACCACACAAATGTATTTATTGGCAAATATAAGAACACTTTCTTACTGATATATCTCTCTGTTAGATGTGTTATTTTCACATCTCAGTTCTGCCATTTATTAACTGACTTTTGGCAAGTAGTTTATTCTCTATTCTTTGTAAAATGGAGGTTAGCAGTTAATTGCACTTATATCACAGGGTTGTTGTGAGAATTCAATTTAACAGGAATATAAAAATACCTGGCACATAACATTCAAATTTCAGTTTACTGTTGTTATTGTAATAATTTGGTTAAAATTCCTGCTTGCTGGAAAGAATGGAATGAGAGTTTCTAAACCATTGTCGTAGTGAATTCAGGAATTGTGATTTAGATTGAACAGAAAATAAAGTCAGAAGACGCAGATTCAAGTCTTGAATATGTTATATGCTAATTTCTATGAAAAAAGTTATATTAACCAAAGATAGACAAAATCAGCATCCCTAAGATTTCTTGCCACATAAAGAATTTTTACATTCCTAAACAGCATACCTACCAGGCAGTGTTCAGATGCAGAGGTTAATAGTGCCTGGCATAGGGTTCAGCATTTCTTGAGTATCCTCTTTCCAGATTTCTCCTGATATCTTTTTTTTTTTTTTTAAATCCTCACCTGAAAATATTTTTCCATTGATTTTTAGAGAGAGTGGAAGAGAAAGAGGAGGGTGAGAGTGAGGTGGGGTAGGAAAGAGGAAGAGAGAAACATTGATTTGAGAGGCACATCGATTGGTTACCCCCCACATGCTGCCCCAACCTGGGTCAGAGATCAAGCCCGCAACCAAGGCATGCACCCTTGACCAGGAAACGAACCCAAGATCTTTTGGTCTGAGGTTCTAACCACTGAGCAACTGGCCAGGGCTTCCAATATCCTGTTATTGGTTCAATAACACTTTTCACGGTGAGCCTTATATTAGAATTGTGTGCATGGAGTATCTTTTCTACTGTGATGTAACTCAGGGAAAACATGAACATTTATTTGTTCAGGTGTATATCAGGCATTTGATAAATGTTTATATTAAAATGTAAATGTACTTGCTTCATTCATTGTTTATCTAAATAGCATGTAAATGAAATCATTCAAATATATTGTTAATTTTTAAGTAAATTCGGTATTTCATTGAGATGTGAGTAATAACCCCAAATCTGTCTATTCTAGAAGTTTCAGAGTGCATCTATTTTTTTGGGGGGTTATGTGTGTCAGATGTCTTATTTTCAACTTCTAAGTTTAAAAAGCAATGAAAAATATGAACATTTTTGTTTATATTGCTAATGTTTAGTGCCCTCTTTGGCTCCTTAGAGATTATTCTGTGATAAGATTCTTGGGGAGGTGTTGCTGACTTGAGTTGATACTACATTTGTTTTTTTAGATCAAGGCAGATAGAAGAAAATTGTAGAGGTCTAGCTTGCTAGTCTTTTAAACATAAGAGAGAATCAATTTTCAGCTTAATTTGGAGATCAAAGCATCTTCCATAAGATGTTAGTTACAGTAAAGTCAGTAAGTGGCAGGTGCTTATTTATGTCTCCAAAATAAATAGCGATCAGAAGCAACCAATTATGATAATTGCTCCATTTTTTTGTATAGTCTCTATAAAAAGATCAAGAATAACATCTATAGAAGTGACTAATTGCAAATGCTTAGCTAGCACCTTGATGGAAAACTTGAGGTCTGGGTTGAGGTGGGAGAGTAGTTGTCAGTTCTTTGTAAGCCACATGCAAATTGTGAACCTCTCCTTTGGGGCTTTCTTAACTACCTTTTAAAAATTGCATTTCCACAATGGCGTCTTAACTATGTTATGTAAAAGCAAAGGAATTTATCCCAAAGTGTCTGTCTTAACTCAGAGATATTTGGCTATACAAATGAATTCATAAAAGTTTGGGCTTGTTGGATTAGAATCTTTATGCTGTTCTAGAATGTGAAGGTGAGGAGAGGACATTTCTGTCAAATCATAGCTTAGTACATGTTAGTCTGAGAGGGTGAGGAGTGCTGAGGAGGTGAGAGAAACAACACCTTTTCTTTGTGTTATCTTGGTTCAATGCTTCCACTAGCCCTCCTGATAAGGTGGTGGTTATTGCATTTGTCACCGCACTGAGAAATTCTGTCCCACTCCTCAGTTCTCCAGCTGACCATAGAAGTGCTTGGTTTGCATATGTCAAAGCAATTTACAGTCATATGTTGCCCAGTTACATGATAATTTAATTTAATAGTGGTGATAATTGCTAAACGTGTAAGATCAACTAAATTGTATCATTTGATTGAAATACTAAATTTTGCAGTTACTGAGTGGTGATATATATTTACATCGTTTAGACTTAGGACTTTACTCCATGAAAAAGTTTTTCATTAGGGTGGTCTTTTAATTTGTGTATGTATAATTGGCACTAAGATTGTTTAGGGATCTGGCTCATTGAGGAAGAATGTCAGCTTCTAGGCACAGGAGCCTGAGCATGGCCTGAACTTTAAAGAAAGTGTAATTGTGATGGGATTTATTCAGACACTGACAGGCAATAAAAATTAACATAGTAAGGGTTTAAATTCTTAGTTAAATATTCCCTTTAAATTAGTTTAGAAATTTTTAAACTATATACTAATTAATTAAAAATAACTAATGCATTTTCTTTAGGATTTATTTAAATAAAAGTGGATTTCACTTTTCCTTTTGGTCTCTTTTATGCTTGTATTCTCAGTCTTCTGCTCCTTTAAAAATGTTGTGGGGGCATTTGTGCATTCTAAATATGTATAATTTAAACTACAGTTTTTAGGTCTTTTGTCTGTTTTTACTACTATTACTGATATTAAGAGTCCAATATAAACTCCTGTTTAATGGGATCAATGTGGCTAAAATATGTATGATTAAAATAGACATTGGCAAAAGTAAAGTCTAGATCTGATTAATTAGTAGTAAAAGGAAAACCTAACACGGTGGTCAGCAAACTCATTAGTCCACAGAGCCAAATATCAAGTCAGTGATTGAAATTTCTCTTGAGAGCCAAATTTTTTAAACTGAAACTTCTTCTAACGCCATTTATTAAAAAATGGACTTACCCAGGCTGTGGTATTTTGTGGAAGAGGGGCCAAAGAGCTGCATGTGGCTCGCGAGTTGCAGTTTGCCAACCACGGACCTATTAGGTGAAAAATAATTATCTGTGAGTTCAGAATAATAGAAACTTTTGGGGGGGAAAAGATTATCAGAGAATCTTATGAGTTGCTATAAATGTTCCATAATTTGTCCTGTGTATACAACTGTAAAAATTTATCAAACTTAAAATTTGTTAGCTTTACCACATGTAAATTATACCTTAAAAAGTAACATACTATCAACCATATCTGAAACAAATTATCAAAATCTTGGTTGTTATTGAATATGAATGATGGTTCATTTTACAATTGTCACTTTTTAAAAATATATATTTTATTGATTTTACACAGAGAGGAATTGAGAGGGACAGAGAGTTAGAAACGTTGATGAGAGAGAAACATCAACCAGCTGCCTCTTGCACACCCCCTACTGGGGATGTGCCCGCAACCAAGGTACATGCACTTGACCAGAATCGAACCCAGAACCTTTCAGTCCGCAGACCGACGCTCTATCCACTGAGCAAACCGGTCTCGGCCAATTGTCACTTTTTATGAAAATTTGAAATATTTTGTGATAAAAGAGATTTTTAAAATCCCATCAGTCTAAATATGTCAAATTATATCTACATTATGAAAACTAAAGTTTTTTTTCCCCCTTCCTTAACTGTCATTTTTCAGGTTTGGAATTTTGTGTTTGTCTTTGATGTTGCTGGAGAGATACAGAGAATCAAGTCTAGTTTTGTGATATCACTATTCAAAGAGTTCAAACCCAATCTTGATCTTGAAATCAGGTGATATATAAATACTTTACATTCTTGACTATGAATGGAGAAAAATCAGACCACTTACTTCATTAAGTATGTGGTAGTCTAATTAAACTCCAGTTTAAAAGATTCTATCTTTCAAAAACATACTTGCTACTGAGGATTTGCCATATACTTGTTGTTGTGAGAACGGTCTTGTAGAGTGATGTTACTATTTCATTTTGCATTTGAGGACATTAAAGTTAAGAAACTTGTTATGTAAGTTCTCATGGCTGAAGTAGGGAGGGTGCCCATGCTTGGCCTCTAAAGGATACATCCTAAGCTGCCAATGTCAGAGTATAAATATGAAGGTAATTATCATTCTCTGTTACTGACTTTTTATTGCCACAGATGTGAATAATAACTATTTTAGAGACATTTGTGAACTGTTTTAGAAGTCTTTTTAGCACTTGTGTTGAGTGGCCTTTAAAATTTCAAGATTATTTCTGATACTTTTTAAACTTGGCAATATGGCTTTGTTTTTTAAAGCAAAATCTGGAGTAAATAGAAATGTTTGTTCCCTATTATATGAAAAAAGGCTATTTGTAGGTCACCTTTTTTAAAAAGCCAAGAAATTCTCTCTCCAAACCACATTAGAACGCATGCCAGCTTGGTACAGGGCCCTCACCAGAGTAATGTAAGAATTTGCAAAAGTACATAGTGCAGCTGCCAAAGCTCACTGTTTAATTTCAACACTGTCTGTCCACCAGAGTCCACACCTCAATATTTTTTTCCTGCATGTACCAAATCATAATCTCTTTGGAGGGGGAAATAAAGAGTTGTTATATAATAAACTTATTGCTTTCTTAGGTAATGGTGCTGTTTTGCCTCTCACATTCCCTTCCATCTAACTTTCAAGTACTTATTAACTTAGATGAATTCTTCCAAAATGTGACACAGAAGGACAATTTACACCTTTCCTCCTTTATGTTTTGCAAGGAAACCCTTTGCATGGTTCTCTGTTCAGGAAGTTCCATGTGCTACATTCCATCTATTTGCCAAGTCTTGGACTCTTATCCTAAGTACAGTATTTGAGTATGCAATTACACATACACACACTGGCCTCTCTCAGAGAAAGTTTGAAGCCAGAGGAGCAAATCCAGATGTTCTTGAATCTGGCATCCTCAATTCAGAATTCTAGATGGCAAAACATCATTTGGAAGTACACCAGGCTTACTCAGCACCTGCTCCTGCCAACAGTCACATTTATGACCAAAGATTCTGGAGTTTGCCTCCTATGCTGAGCAGAAAGAACACCCCCAAGAGCTGCATGAAGTGGCTCTCCATCATGGGAGAGAAATATTTGGTTTGCTTCAGGAGGCACGTAGAGGAGGGTAGCTTTGCTGTTGGGAATAAGTCTGAAATGAGAGCAGGTGCAAATGCAGCTGCAGCTCCTTAACCAAATCTGGCCTTGTTTAATGTTTAAAGAGTCTAAAACATTTGGCATCAACATAAGCGAACCATTATGGGCCCTCTGGCCCCTAACATAATATCTCCCACAAGGGGGAGGTACTCACCGACTATTCAGCCACCATTTATTAAACACCTTCTGTGTGCACTAGGCAGTGTACTAGATGCTGGTGATGAATAAGATCTTGTCAAGAAGCCCATAGTCTGGTAGGAGGCACAGACTCTTGTATAAATTATAACTCACCAGTTTTTATTTGTAGCTGGTGTCTTTTACTACTTTGCAGGTCAGCTACAAAAGCCAATTCACAGAACTGACTTGATAACTTTCTAAGAACAAGATTAAATTTCCCTTAAGTATTAAAATATGCTTTCCTGCTTGTATTTTTGCCTCTTTAGATACTTTTTCTGACTTGCTCAAGGATAAAGATTTGTGGAGTGTGGAATGAAGATACTAGTAAAGTAGTCCCCCCTTACCTGTGGGGGTACATTTCCAAAATCCCGCCAAAACCGGTTTGGCTCATTGGATAGAGTATCCTCTATCCATTGAGCCAAAGATTGGGGACTGAAGGGTCCCAGGTTCGATTCCGGTCAAGGGCATGTACCTTGGTTGTGGGCATATCCCCAGTAGAGGGTGTGCAAGAGGCAGCTGATCGATGACTCTCTCTCATTGATGTTTCTAACTCTCTCTCTCCCTTCCTCTCTGTACAAAATCAATAAAATATATTTTTTAAATAAACAAAATCCCCAGTGGACCCCTGGAACCGTGTATAGTACTGAACCTTTTATACTATGTGCTATTTTTTTTTCTATAGTCATGTGCTGTGCAGTGACCTTATGGTCAACAATGGACTGAATATACACGTGGTCCCATCTTATCTAATGAAGGAATATGCTAATTGACCCTCGTGTCATTGCAAAGATGGCGATGCCCACAACTAAAAAAGGAAGGACTATGCTAATTGACTGCCATGCCTTCAAAGATGGCAGCACCTACAGCCACAGATGGTGGTCCCCATCCTCTCAGCCCCACTGGGGCAGCAGGCATGTGACAAGGCCAGGCCCACCCCGTGCGCCTGCCTCTGTAGTTCCCTAGTCCCCTCAGCCCTGCAGCTGCTCAGGGCTGGCCTGAGGTGCAGGCAAGCCTGGGATGGCAGCTGCCCTGCTGCCTAGGGCCGCTTAGGTAACCAGGGGTGGCTGAGGCTTGCGCTGCCAGCAGTGGCAGCAGCAGAGGTGTGATGGGGCATAGCCTTCCCCTGATCACCGGGTTGCCTCCTGCCCCTGAGGGCTCCCAGACTGTGAGAGGGGGCAGATCGGACTGAGGGACACCCCCTCCAGGGCATGAATTTTCATGTGCCTGGCCTCTAGTTAATAAATGCAAAGTGTCCCCTCGGGATTTCCACTGGTGAACCGACAGTGAGTACCATTGCTCATTATGATATGCACCGACCACCAGAGGGCGGCGCGGAACAAAAGAAGGCCCTGATGGGCAGCTGGCAGCCACTAGGGACTCTATCCTGGGCTTCTAATAAGATTATAAGGAGCTGAAAAATTCCTATCGCATGTAATATAGTAGTTGCCATAATGAGTTAGGGCAGTGCATTACTCATGTGTTTATGATGGTGCTAATGTAAACAAACCTGCTCTGCCAGTCATGTAAAAGCATAGCACATACAATTATGTAGATTATATAAGACTTGATAATAATAATAATAAACAACTGTGTTACTGATTTATGTATTTGCTATATACATTTAATCATTACTTGAGAGTGTACTCTTCCTATTTATTAAAAAGAAAGCTTGCTGTAAAATGGTAAAGCTATGCTATGCCCACAGAAGACTCATACATTCCTTGTTTACTGCGTCTCTTGATTACATCATTTTCTCTTGTACTTAATTTAATCTTGTGTTATTTTGTACTCTGACATGCTTCATCAGCTTGTAGCTTAGGAGAAATAGGCTATATCATATAGCTTATGTATATAGTAGACTATACCATCTAGGTTTGTGTAAGGGCAGGCACTCTATGATGCTGTGTTAATTTTACAATTAAATAGCAAAAAACAATCCATAGAGGTTGAATAGAGTACGATATTGAAACAAAACAAAATAAAATAAAGCCTTGCTTCCCTTTTACATCTTTTTAAAAGAAGAATTATGGGCCGAAACCAGTTTGGCTCAGTGGTAGAGCGTCGGTCTGCGGACTGAGGGATCCCGGGTTCAATTCCGGTCAAGGGCATGTACATTGGTTGTGGGCACATCCCCAGTAGGGGGTGTGCAAGAGGCAGCTGGTTGATGTTACTCTCTCATCGACGTTTCTAGCTATCTATCTCTCTCCCTTCCTCCTCTCTGTAAAATATCAATAAAATATATTTAAAAAAAGAATTACGGTTAAAAAACATGTAACATAACATTTACTATCTTAACCTTTTTAAAATAATCACACAGGTTAGTAGTGTTAAGTATATTTACACAAAACAGATCTCTAAAACCTTTTCATCTTGGAAAACTGAAAATCTGAACCTATTAACAACTCCCATTTTCTGTTTTCTCAGCCCTTGGTAAGCACCATTCTACTTTCTCTTTCTATGAATTTGACTATTTTAGATAGGTAGTATTAGTAGAATCATACAATATTTGTCTTTTGGAGTTGCCTTTGTCACTCAGCCTAGTATTCCATATTGTAGCATGTGACACAGCCTTTGCATCTTTGCCACCACTGTGGTCAAGACCATCATCTTTTCATCTGACTGATGACAATAGCCAAATGTTCTCCTTGCTTCTAGTCTTGCCCACCTCTAACCTATTCATCTCCACTCAGTGGCTAAATGCAGATTTGACTGTTTAAAAACTTGACCTTTTTGACTATATTTAGATAAAATCTAAATGCTCTAACCTGGCTTCTTAAGTCACATCCTTTCCTCGTTGCTCCCAAATAGACACACCCTTTGCTTCTACTCTGAATTTTTTTCCTTGATCACACTGCCTTTCATGCTTCCAGTCAGTATTTGTTGGCAGTGAATCATGAATGAATCATGACTTTTACTAAAGCTAACTATCTTTGTCAGCTGCCTCTGCATGGAGGTAATTTGGAGATTATTGTCAGAATGTATTAATTTAGTATAAAATACATGTCCTGGCTTTTTAGACCTTTCTCAACAATTAAAACTAGTCTGATCTGAAAACAAACAAAAGAATCTTAAGAAATATGTTAACCAAATTCATGTGAAAGGAAGGCTAGGGGGAAAAAGGAAGTTTCTTTATTTTAAAATCTTCATTTTACTTGGCCCTTGAACAAAGAATGCATAAAAGGTCTCTCTCCCTTTCTCTCATTCACTCTGATTTAATTTAGTAAGTATTGAGGGTCCGCTATATATTCAGTTCTATGAGGCAACAAAGTAAAAGACTGCCAGAGGTTTGCACATTTTGAGCAGCTAAATGCACCTCAGTAATTATACAGTTCAGGTAACTTCTTTGGTTTCTCAAGTAGTGTTTTCTGATTGTTAGATGTAAAGTGAATAGTCTTTAAAGTTCATATGCCCATCACAAAACCAAGTTGTTGTTTAAGATAATGTCCTCAAAGTTCATCCATGTTGAACTAGCACGT